TGAAAGCAAATGAAAACTTACTAAAGGTTCTCTAGTTGTGACGAGAGGAAAGAAGCTAAACTCTTTCTATGTCATGGAAACTAAGTTACATAAAGGAGAGATTAATGCAATCCAAAAGGGTGAAAGCATAGATCTTTGGCATAAGAGACTTGGTTATATCAGTAAGAAGAGACTTCAAACTCTTGCTATAAAGTAGCTCTTACCGGAGTTACAAGGTATATCTCTTAAATCCTGTGATCATTGTTTAGTTGGAAAAATACATAGAGTTACTTTTTATACTTATTTGTCATTTAGAAGATCAAATATTATTGATTTGGTTTACACTGATATTTATACTATGCAAACTAGAACAGTTGGATGTGCTTTTTATTTTATTACTTTAATTATTGACTATTCTAGAAACGTTTGAACTTTTGCTTTGAAATCTAAAAACCTAAGTACTCAATGTTTTCAAAGAGTTTCATATTAATATTAAAAGAGAAACTGACATAAAACCAAGGTGTGTTCGAACAGATAATGGTGGCGAGCACAAGAGTCCTTTTGAGAATTATTGCAAGTTTCATGGTATTACACTTGAGAAAATAATTCCTAAAATTTCTCAACAAAACGGTGTGATAAAAAGGATAAACAAAACCATTGAAAAAGGATTAGGTGTATGCTTTTTCATGTTAAGTTACCTAAGTCATTTTGGGAGGAGGTTATGAGAACTACAGTTGATTTAATAAACCTTTCTCCATTAGTTCCTCTAAAAGATGATGTTCCAGATAGAGTATGGAAAGAGAAAAATGTATTTTATGATCACCTGAGAGTCTTTGGGTATAAAGCATTTGCTCATATTTTTAAATATGAGAGGTCCAAGCTTGATAATAAGACAAAAGTATATATTTTCTTGAGGTATGGTCATGAAGGATTTGGATATAGATTATGGAATCCAATGAACAAGAAGATTATTAGAAGTAGAGATATTATATTTTTTGAAGATCAATTATTTGATGATGGTGACAATGTTGATAAGCCAAAAGTCTCTATTTATATTCCTTGGAATTTGAATCCAATTCTTCCACTTGTAGTTCATGATGATCATAGGGGAGATGAACAAGAAGATTGTGGTGAAAATATTAGTGATGATGCTCCTATATTTGATGATGTTGAACCAACTAAACAAATTGAGCAAGCACCTCCACCACCAGTTGAGATTCAATTAAGAAGATTCACAAGAAAATGACAACCATCTACAAGATATCCTCCATATGAGTATATTATGCTTACTAATGAGAGAGAGCTAGAAAATTACTAATAAACTATTCTACATGAGTACAAGAATGAGTGGCTAAAGCCATGCAAGAAGAGATGAGATCCTTGCTTGAAAACTATACCTATGACTTGGTAAAGTTACATAAAGGAAAGAAAGCTCTCAAGAATAAATGAGTTTATAAACTGAAGACTAAAAATAATAGCTCACAACAAAGATACAAGGTATGTTTAGTTGTAAAAGGATTCAGTCAGAAGAAATGTATTGACTTTGAAGAAATATTTTTTTCTATGGTGAAAATATCTTATATTCGAGTTGTTCTTAGTTTGGCTACCCGCTTGAACTTAAAAGTTGAGCAACTTGATGTGAAAATTGTATTTTTTCATGGTGATTTAGAAGAAGAAATTTACATGGAGCAACCAGAATATTTTAAAATTTAAAAAAAATAAAATCTAGCGTGCAAGCTTATATAGACTCAAATAAGTACCCAAATAGTAATACAATAAGTTTGATTCATTTATGATGAGCTAAGGGTACAATAGAACCACATTTGATCATTGTGTGTTTACAAAGAAGTTTTTAGACTATGATTTCATTATTCTCTTACTATATGTTGATGATATGTTGATTATTGGCCATGATGTTGAAAAAAATGAAAAACTTAAAAAAGAGCTAAGTAAGTCTTTTGCTATGAAAGACTTGAGATTGACAAAACAAATACTTGACATAAAGAATCTTCATGATAGGAAGAATAAGAAGATTTAGTTATCTCAAGAGACTTACATTGAAAATATTCTTGAAAGATTCAACATAAGTAAAACGAAAGCAATTTATTCTCCACTTGTAGGTCATTTCAAAATTAGTTTGAAACAATATCCTACAAGTGAGAAAGAAAAAAAAGAAATGTTCAGAGTGCGCTTACTCATCTACGATAGACAATTTGATATATACTATAATTTATACTAGGTCAGATATAGCTCATGCAGTTGGAGTTGTTAGTCGATTTCTCTATAATATTAAGATATCTAAAAGGTACTTCTAGATTGTATTTATGTTTTGGAAGTGGTGAACATATACCAGAGGGGTATATAAATGTAGACATAAGAGGTGATATTGATTCCAAGAAGTCCATTTTGAGGTTCTTGATGACGTTTATAGGGGAAGCAATCTCTTGGCAGTCTAAGTTATAGAATTATATTGCTTTATCAACCATAAAAGTGGGATATATAGCAATTACTAAAGCCTACAAAGAATCTTGATAGATGAAAAAGTTTCTATAGGAATTGGGCTTGAAATAGGAAGGATATACTGTTTACTATGACAATCAGAGTGTCATTCACCTCTCCAAGAATTCAACATATCATTCTAGATCCAAGCATATTGACGTAAGATATCACTAGATTCATGATCTGCTTGAGATAAAAGAATTACACTTAGAAAATGTACATATTAATAAAAATAAATCAGACATATTGATAAAGTCTTTACTTAAGGAGAAGCTTGAAGTATGTAGACGAAGAGTGGGCTTAGTATAGCTCACCATATGAGCTGGAGGGAGAGAATTGTTAGGTCCAACCCATAGGTGGGCTTCGATTAGATGATTTGAGCATTGAGCCTAAATCTGATTTATTAAAAAAAAAATGGAAGTAGAGACGTACGTGACATGAGAGGTCTGTGCCAATGAAAGAGAGGTATGTGCCAATGGAATTATGGAGACAGTGATGAATTAAAAAAAAAAAATACAAAGAGAGGAGAGAGAAAAAGTTAGGTTGTGAGGTTTTTACTAGATGATTAAGTGGTTAAACATCATTGGTTTTGACCCAAATTTTATGAAGAGAATCCTTATAATAAGCTCTACAATCCTAATGGTGTCGGTCTATGATTTATCTTTTTTGATATATCCACTTGGTGATACCAAAATTTTTCTTTTGATGAAATTCATTTATGATGATGATGATATATTATTGTTGAACCAAGATTTATGTTCTTGATGTTATTATGATCCTCTAGTTATTCTAGAGAAGATTTATTTCTATTATCACTATTGGTGATAATGAAGATTTGAAGTGCACTATAGTCTCGTGATTTTTCTCGTATTGAGTTTTTCAGGTAAAAAAATTGATATTTCGATTGATTTATTATTTCATTATTTATATTATTCTGATTAATATTTATTTTTTAATAATAAATTAGTATTTTGATAAGGAACTTATTTTGATATATAAAGAGAAAAAAATTATTATGTTATAATAATTATTTCCAACAACTACTTTGATAGACTCAAACCTAATCTCAGCAGAATTATATAACAAAATTAAAAGGTCAAAAGCATAGTTATCCATTTAAAAAACACACCCCCCGCCCCCCATTATTATTCGGATGTCATTCGATAAAAATCAGTTTGTGAAATTTTTCTGAATCTTCTTCGAGGGTTCAAGCTGAGGGAATCATGGTTGCTTCCGGTGGTAGCATGCAAGTTGAAGGACGGCAATGTTGGAATGAATCATCCGTGGTACTATCACAAATAAATGCTCTCCTATGGCCGTAGCTTTCAGCTTCACGGACTAGTTATCAACAGCGACGTTCTCCCGGGAAGAAAAGGACTGCCGTTCATATACCCCAAGTGAACAGTCCGGTAATACCGACACTGTACGGCGGTGGAGTAGAAACTTAGTGTACAAGACAATACATTGCCAAGCTGTTTCGGATGGGAGCAATCGACCTTTCTTTTATTTGGTTGAGTTTGAGTCGATTCAAAAAAATTAAGCTTATTAAGTTTGTGAGTCACTCACTATATCTTAATACTATTTTTTTTATAAATTATTTTATTTTAAGCCGATGATTAGAGGCTGAAAATGAGTTTTAATTGATTCCAATATCTTTCTATCAAATATCCTACCCCGACACATTAGGAATATTATTGTTATACATTAGAAATTTAACCAAGATTATGCGTTAGTTTTCTTTAAAGAAAACTATTCATTAAGTATTAAAAGTAAACATATGATCAGAGGAAACACAAGAGATAGAGAGAGAGAGAGAGAGATAGGGGATGTAACAATATCCCAAGAGTTGATCGGTCCTCTATTCCTGTTCCAGTTAGCTAATGCGTCAACCTCAAAATTTTGAGTTGATGGATTATTGCGAGTCTAATCGGACCTAGACATTGTTGAGTCTGATATGATCATGAGCATATTGGAACTATAGAAAATCTTAAAAAACCTTTTAAAATATCCTAATTCCAAATCTAAATCAACACAACAAGACATTGAATCCAATTTAAAAGCTAAGTCACACCCCAAAATCTAGGTAGTCTTACATATGTTTGGATCCACAATAATAGTTTCAAATTAGGTCGGAATAAGCTTATATTAAGTATACATTAGATAATATTTGGGCTCCAAGTAGACGTCATCTCTGTTGACATACTGGCAGCTTTCTCAAAGCTGTGGTTGGATCAAAATTTTGACTGTCACAGTAAATGAAGGCTGGTAAAATAGGGGGAGGACATGATTCGTAAATGCTACAGATGAAGTCTTTCTGTCCTAAGATCAATGCCAATGGGTTCACTTTCTTCAACCTCTTTTCTCCTCCATTCACATGATCAAAGTGTTTACCGATGAAGACACTTTTTGCTTATCATGGTTGGCTAACCCATTAGTGCAAATGGTAGGCGTTAGCTGTTGCACAAACTAGTTATGCTATAAAAAAGAACTTGTGTTGATTGTTTATGGGTTGACTTCAAGTATTAATACTTCAAATCATAGTTTAATCCATTAAAAAGGAGACTAGGACATGGTACATTTAACAGCATGCAGGTAAAAGAACATCTCGATCTAACTCAGACGGACAGTGCACTGTTCTTACCTGCTGCATATATAGATTTGCTTGTCTGATAAAACCTGGTAATGTTTGAGCAACCACAGTTACTGCTTGAGGTAGAAGAAACTGAGCTTTTTTGCTGGTCAATTTTCCAACATTTTCTAGCTTGTTAATCTCTGCAATAAGTCAACGACGTGCCTCATCGATGGTCTGCTTTCGGGGTTTAACTGGACACAGCCTAATGCTATCTTGAGTGCAGTGGTAATCTCATCTTCTCTCTCTGTTTCCCGGGTCAAATTAGGGTCTACCACATCCAACAGTGTCTTCCTCTCTTCGATAGAGATCTGAACCCATCGAACTAAGTCCATGTCCGAAGTCTCCATCAGAACAACCGGAGATCTTCCACAGATCAGTTCCAGTAGGATGACTCCATAGGAATACACATCCCATTTCTGTGATGGTCTGAGAGATTTGATTGCCTCTGGAGCTTGATAGAACAATGCATTGCTCCAAACAGGACTGATCGATGGTGTTCCTGTTTCCATGTTGGTGGTGAGGTGCCCAAGTCCGAAGTCCGATATGTATGGCTCCATGTCTACTCCGAGGAGTATGTTGCTTGGCTTGAGATCTCCATGGACGTACTTCTTGGGGCTGAAATCATGCAAGAAGGCCAAACCCTTTGCGACCCCCTTCATGATCTTAAGCCTCACATCCCATGACAGCGGCGACAAGCTCATGTTTCCTATGCACGACAGAAATGGCCATCAGCAGATGCACTGTAATCTAGCAAGGAGTTCTTCGACACTTACCATGGATTGCATTGGAGAGGTTGCCATTGGGAATGTAGTCGTATATAAGAAGTTTCTCGTCGGCAGACCAGTAGAAAGCTCTTAGGAGAACGATGTTGTGATGCCTCACTTTTCCGATGGCTTCCACCTCTGCTCGGAAATCTTTGAACCTCTGCGACCCACCTTCGCCTAATCTTCTTACCGCCAGTGTCAATCCGTCCTCCAAGATCACCTTGTACACAATCCCAATCCCACTCTTCCCCAGCACGAAGGCAGAGCCCTTCAGCAGATCTTCCAAGTCGAACCGCACCTGCTTATCTACTGGTATGAGATCAAATTGCTCAGCATCCTCTGCCGGAGTCTCGCTTCCATCTTTCCCGCAGCATAAACACTTCTTCCCATCTTTGTTCTTGGAAGACACTGCTCTCCTGTAACAATAGAAGAAGAGCATAGCCATGAGAGCAATTGCAGCAACGTCAGCTACGACTATGGCTACCACCAACTTTTTGCTCAGACCATTTCTGGTTTTTTTGCTATTGTTGGGTTCAGAAGCTAGAGGTGAATGGTCACTCGGCAAGGATGGCAATAGCCATGGGCTGCTGGCTGCTCTGCTCGACAGAGAACAGGGGTTCTTCAGTGGCGGACCGCAAAGCCCAGGATTTCCAATAAATGCAGTTGGTCCTCTGTTCAGTAAAGCTCCATTCTGTGGGATCGAGCCGGTCAAGTTGTTGAACGCAAGATCGATGTAGACTTTGTCCGGTAAGTCTCCGAGAGTTGCAGGAATGGCACCGGAAAAGAGATTGTGTGAGAGGTCGACCGTGCCACCAAGGCTAGACAGGTTGCCGAAGTCGCTAGGGATCGAACCGTTGAGCCTGTTGTAAGAAAGGCTGAGTTTTTCCAAGGCGGCAAGATTGGTCCCGAAGCCTGCCGGGATGGAGCTCGTCAAGTTGTTGTGGCTGAAATCAAGGACCTTCAACCTCTTGCAACGGAGGATAGAAGCAGGTATTGCGCCATGGAGCAGGTTCTGCGAAAGGTCCAAGATTTGGAGGAGAGAGAGGTTGCCGAGCTGAGGAGGAACAGGACCGGAGAAGGAGTTCCCGTAAAGAACCAGGCTTTGGAGCCGGCCGGCGGCGAAGAGTCCGGAAGGCAGGCTCCCGTGAAGCCTGTTGCTCCTGAGGTTGATGTGCCGAAGAGAAGAGAAGGAGCCAAGCGAGGAAGGAAGAGAACCCAAAAGCCTCTTCTTTGGGAGGCTAATGGAGACAACCCTTCCTTCTTCACAAGTGATCCCATTCCAAGAGCACGGGTCGGCACCGGAGGAGTTCCAGTTGGCCATGGAACCATCAGGATCTTCTTGCACGGCTGACTTGAAAGAAAGAAGTGCAAGGCCCTCCTCGTTCAACGCGACTACAGGAAGAAGAAGAAGAAGAAGAACCCAGAGAGGAGATTTCCTGAGTTGAAACTCCATGAAAAAAGAGAATAATCGTCTTCTTCCTGTGACTACTCTAAACAAGCTCAGAAAAGAAATGCATGACAAGGAAGCAGTGAGGGAGTTTGGGAAGAAACCACTGACACCTAGAGAGAGAGAGAGAGAGAGAGAGAGAGAGAGAGAGAGAGAGTACGTTAGGAAGT